TCAAATTCCAAATTTCTCTTACAATTGTGGTTTGAGAAATGGATATCCCTGCAAGTTTGAAACCGGCCTAATTTAGCCCGCGTCCACACTACGCCGGAGGAATTTGAAAACGAAGGTTTCACTCTCAAACCGCATCAAATGTTTTCCGTCCACACTACGCCGGAGAACGCAACAATCATCGGTCATTTTGGATTTTTGCTTGAGTAAAACTCGGGCAGGCAGTTATTACGATTATCATTCGAAAAGCTTCGTTTTCAAAATGCTGTCTGTCCACACTAAAACGCAAAGCCGGCGTTTTCAAATTTCCTCCGGTTTGAAGAGCGTTTTCGAAAAGGATTGGTGTGGACCGTAGGCCTACACTGAGAAATAAATCTCCGTTTTCAAATTTTCCCGGCGTAGTGTGGATGGAGCCTTATATTAATAGCTTTGCACAAAAATCTGGCTCTTTTTAAGTAGTTTTGCTATCTGTGATTTATTTCAGTCCTTGACATGGCGCATCCAGATGGCGTGAGGGATGATATTTTCATTACTCATTACTAAGTTAATTGAATTGGTCAGGTAGGATAACTTTTTGCACTGAAACCGTTTGTAGAATAACAATTAATCAAACAATCAATCAATCCATTATTGAACGTGGTCAGCACCCTTAGCTAGGAGCTAGTTTCCATTTATGCCACAAAATAACTGAACAGTAATAGAAAAATAAGAACTTCATTGGAAGTATATAAATTTATGCAAAAGTGATCAAGAATCAAGATAGTGATGGTTACAATATCTAGTTTAACAAAGTCTGAAATGAAAAAAAAAATATATAAAAGTATTAGAAATCATCTAAAAAAATTGGCCCACATCTCTTGCAAAGTCTTATAGAACTTGAAGAGATCTTTCCTTTCCTCGTTCAGCGCACTCTTATCCGAGAGAGTGTAAGGGTAGGGAAAAGTAGGGTACTTGACTCGGCGAAGCTTAAGTTCAGGACTAAACATTATATTTGGAATTATCAGTTCGGGTGCTATGAAAGTTTCTTTTAAAGCTTAGCGATTAATTGACTGATTATTTCTTTTTGACAGACAAAACCGCAGAAAATGGGAAACGTCAACTCGGACAAGCGACTTGTCTTTTAGCGGTAGTTAGTAGAAGCTTTTAATAGAGAAGCTCAGCAGTGATGTGAGAAAACAAACTAAAACCAAGATTAAAGAACTTTACCTTCTTCAATTTTCATTTTCTTTGAATTTACGAAGGCATATACGTTCCTCTGCCAGGGATGCATTAGACACAAGACTACAAACATTCTCTCACTTTTTGCTTCAGTCCTTTATCTTGTGCAATCAGAGTTTCAGATACGTCTGAACAGAATCCAGCTCACTCCTAGCCAAGAAATAGCCGTATTTAGACGAAGTGGCCGAGGCGACCCACTAAATTGTTTTGCGTCTATAACCCGAGATGACGTTTTCCTTGCAATAGCCTGCGATGTTTGGCAATAGAACATGATTTCACTGGCACCCAAGCATAAGCAACCAGGGTACGCAGAATGCCTGTTGTAAGGACACTTTCCTTACAA